AGAAAGAAAAGGACATAGAAAGAGCGAGAGCGAGAGCGCGAGAGAGAGAGAGAGAGAGAGAGAGAGAGAGAGAGAGAGGTGATGTTAATCTTATATCTCTGGGTTTTTCCCTTTTTCCTCTGCTGTATCCTCTACATTTTTAATGACTGCCCCTTATGCTGGTCTATGACCATAATAAGTATTTGATTTATTGGTCTCTTGATGCATTGTTCTGCATGGCTAACTCTTTCATCCTTACCCTTTTAAAAAAAAGTTATGCTGAGGTTCGAGCAGAAAAGAGACGGGACGTCGGCCTGGAGGAATCTTCTATCGAATTGGCCTCTTCATCCTTAAAGGTAGGATAGTATCCCGAGAAAATCCAGGAAGAGGTTCTGGCTGTTCAAAGGATTTGCGGGAAACTGGTGGTTTTGGAAGAAGAAGTGGGAATATGAGATTTTCTTTTGGGGGTCTTTCTATTGGTTTCAGCCTTCAGAAAAGAAGTTGACCTAAGAAAGCTTTATAGGGCAAAATAACTCCTCTTTGGGGAATTTCAGAAGCTGCAATGTTGAAAACAGAATGACAGAGTTGGAAGGGACCTTAAAGGTCTTCTAGTCCAACCCCCTGCTTAGGCAGGAAACCCTACACCACTTCAGATAAATGGCTATCCAATCTCTTCTTAAAAACTTCCAGTGTTGGAACATTTACAACTTCTGGAGGGAAGTCTTTCCACTGATTTATTGTTCTAACTGTCAGGAAACTAAGAAGAAATGTCCTCACAGTTAGAACAGGGGGCTAGACTAGAAGACCTTCAAGGTCCCTTCCAACTCTGTTATTCTGTTTCCAAATATATCAACATTGCAGCTTCTGAAATGCCCCAAGGAGGGTTTTTGTTTTTGTCCTATAAAGCTTTCTTCTGCCAACTTCTTTTCTGATGACGTCGAACAGGTGCTTGCCCTGGATTTATCCTGCCGTATCTAGTTGCCCCACCCTTCGAATATGACGATGCCTCTCATCCCTGGCCAAAGGCCTGATCGAAGGGGATGGCAACCGACCAGCTGGAAAAACTGGCTTTATATTGGACGAGCAAAGGTCTGCTTCACTTTTATAATAGGCCTCCGGATTGGCGTTTCCCAACCTTGGCAACTTTAAGATGGGTAGACTTCCAGAATTCTTCAGCCAACACAGCTTGCAAATCTGGGAGTTGACGTCCAACTATCTTAAATTTGCCACGATTGAGAAATGCTGTTCCAGATGTGTGATGGCCATTAGGAAGGATACAAGAAATGAAATATTATTTTTTTAAGCATCCTTTGGACCTGAAATTCTAGCAGGGGATCCTTGGTGCTCCCTGAGCTACGTTGCTATGTTGAAGACATTTCATTATGCCAACTAGGTAACATCATCAGTGCTACATCCTCAGTTGCCTAGTTTAATGAAATGTCTGCAAGAAAACCACCAAGCTCAGAGAGTATCAAGGACTAACCTCATAGTTCTCCTCCTCCTCCTCCTCCACCTCTCCACAAATCCCACTCTCTTCCGGCACTGATGATGTAACCTAGTTTGGTAATGAAACCCCAGCAAGAAAACCACCAAGCTCAGAGGGTACCAAGGACCCTTCATTTCAACCCTACAAACAATTCTCCTTGACTGAACTTCTAGGAGTTGAGCCAAGTCAGATTTCTACAGCTTCCACTTTCCCAAATGTGCTGAGCAGTTGAACCCGTATCAACTAAGCCATTTCCCTATTGCTGAGTTATGCCTAGCATCTAATACTGCCTCTCCTTCGCCTTCGTTCTGATTCACCAACTGCCACGATGCAAAGGTGGAACAGAAAGGAATACATGACGGACAGATGAACTTCTTCTTGTTGTTTCTTCCTGAAAGAGGCCTCTGAACTTGGCAGATTGTCTCCCTAATCGCATTTTCCATCGCCTTTTAAAATAATCAATTTGGCCTGGTTGTGCCTGCTGAATTTAATTGGGTCAACTTAGTCAATGCCAGGGTTTCAATAACAAGAGGCCAACGTCACTCGGAAGGAGCTTTCTTTAATTGATCTCTAAACCTTGGGCATGAAATCCAAGTGGCCTACTTTCCCCGCCCTGTGAAGAAAGTTAAAGGAAGCGATCACATGAGGGAAGATAGGATTTCTGGAGCAGAAGTCTCTCTCTCTCTCTCTCTCCCTCCCTCCCTCCCTCTCTCTTTCCCTCCTATCATCTATCTATCTATCATCCATCCACCATCCATATATTATCTTTCTACTATCTTGTCTATTTTTTCTCTTCTATCATCTATTTTCCATCTTCTATCTTATCTATTTTCTATCTTCTATATGTCTATTTTCTATTTTCTATCTATCTATCTGTCTGTCTGTTTATCTGTCTGTTAGCTATCTAGCCACAAAAACTTTTTTTAAAAGTCAGGTGATACAAGGAGGCTCAAGGGCCCAAAGGGACGTTTCCTGCCTTCTAAGAGCCAAGGTGCTGAAGGGGTAAAATTGTTGGACTACCTTGCAGGGGTAGTTGCTGTTATGGGGAGAAAATNCGGCTTGTCACAAGAGACCATCCAGACAGAGACCCAATATTTTTACTGTTGCCTTTGTTACATTTGTGTTGTATTTGTGCTGATAAATAAATAAATAAAGATACATATATACATATACATACATCATACTCACACACACAATGATCTGGCTGCCCCCCTTGATCATCTCTCCCTGTGGCATTTTTCCTGTCTCTCCAATGACCCTTGGATGGACATTCACAGGACAGGGCAGTGCCCGGAAGAAGACCGCGAACCAGTGGGTGCCAAGCGGGGTTTAACAAAGTCTTTTTGTTGTTGCTGTTGTTGTTGTTGTTGCTGTTCATGCCCAGTGATGCAGTTTGGCAAAGGCAAGTCTTGCTACTACAGATTCCTGTCCAAGGGCCAGCAGTGGATATGGCTTCAGACCCATTATTACATCACCTACCACCAGTGGAACTCCAAACCCGAGTTCATTGTGTGCAGCCACACAGTGGTTAGGTAAGAACGCAAACTCTTTCTCTGCCCCTACAGAGCCCTCTGGGCTTCCAACCTGTCTCATCGTTTGCTGGAGTGCGCAGTTATATAAAAGGATGGAGGCTAAAAATCAGGCGACGGAGGAGGGGAAAACAGCATTGTATATTTTTCTGTTGGAGGCCTCAGAAAGCTGAAAGCAGCATTCAGAGGCTCCTCGATTTAACGACGACGGTAGAGACTGGAAAAATCCCCATTAAGGCATGTGGTTGTTGAGTGAAATAGGCAGGCTGGGGAATTATGGGAGCTGAAGCCCTCACAGCCGAGGCTGAGAAACACAGATCTACAACATGGTCCATGGAGTCAAAGAGAGGGAGAGGGAGAGGGAGGGAGGGAGAGGAGAGAGAGAAAAGAGAGAAAGAGAAAAGAGGGAAAAGAGAAGAGAGAGAGAAAGGGAGGGAGAGAGAGGGAGAGAGAAGAGAAAGAGAAAAGAAGGAGGGAGGGAAACAGAGAGAAACAGAAAGGGAGAGAGAAAGAAAGAAAAGGACATAGAA